TATACAAGCTATATGTTAGATTTTTGCTTCATAAAGTACTGCTTCATTAACTAAAAAAATCACTACTTTTTGTCAAATGCCAATGGTCAAAGTAGTGGGTAATACTTGGACAATTTTCTCTCATATGTTTGGCAATTTGTGTATGTCTGTCAGTGATTAACATGGAGATTGGAAAATTGCGAGATTTAAGAAAATACATCGATCTTTTAAATCCCTCAAACTCAATACCAGTGCTATTTCCAACTTCATTTCTCTACAGAATAGCAAATAGGTAATTAATTTTAAAGAAGAAAATCACATAATTTAAAGAAATGTACCTGCACAAGAGAAAAACTAATGTTTTGAGATACTGTGCAACAGAATGTTGTATAAGCACAATAATTGGCACTATGTCCCATGAAATCGTGTCTTCCATCCCCAGCAATTGCAACATGCCATCACTTTCTCTATAAAGCTGTCTTGGCATTTTTTTCCAGTAGATCACCAATGCAGGATATAGTATTTCCTACACAAAACTTTAAAAAGACTTTAAAGCTTTCATTTGATTGTGGTAATTTCTTTACAACTTTCTTTTATCCCATCGGATAAATCTTACTTACACACTGGTGAGAGAAGTATGTACTCAATGAAATGCATGCCAATCCCATGTGCCGTGGAACTATGATCACCTTTGTGGCAGAGGTTCCAGCAGTCAAAATACCAAATGACAATAGCGAATTTCCAGCAGGAATGGAAGTCCCAGTCATGACTGGTTGACTATTCCATGTTGTGTCTGCTCCACATTTGTGATTGGAACAACCAACCCACTTTTTCCATTGAATCATTTTGCAATATCTCAACAAGAACATCATCTGATTTGAAAATTGGGCAGAATTTATAAAGTGCAAACAGTTGGGTGAAGAACACAATGAATTTTTTCTCTGTTCTTAGGTTGGTGTCTTTGTTGAGCACTCTACAAAAAAAAACTCAATTTATGAAATGCAATAGTCATCAAGGTAGTGACTGATTAAATAAGCTGTTTAACTTTCATTTATTCAACAATCACCACTATTTTAACATTGCCATGGTGATTGATACATTACAGTTCTCATCCAAAAATTGTTACCTTTTAAATGTTCTTGGCTGAGTTCTTAAATGACTCTGACTCAGAGTTAACATCCATGTCACTAGATGTGATTATCTCTTCTATCTCAGTCTCACAACTTTGCTCAGCACCAAGATCACTCTCTGAGTCTGAGTCACCACTAAGATCATTTGGGTCCAAAACCTCCTCAGCAGGACAGCTATCAAGATCAACCACTTTGCTACTAGTTGATGATTCTTCATTGCTGCTGTTGTTGTCATACTCATCTATGAAATAAGATACTTCAGTAATGCGCAGCTAAACAAGGCTGATTAAGTCTAGATAAGACTTAGTCTATTTCACGAAATGAGGATCTTGTAAATATATATTTAGAGACAAAATACAAAGGTCATTTGTTTACGAATGACAAACAACAATAACAGTTGGGTCCAGGCCCCTTATTAATCAACGATTATCCCATTATGCTGTATCCCCCCGTAGGTCTTTACTAGTATAGGAAAGCGTAATATAAAGTTGTTCTACGATATTTGTTCATCCGTTCAATTTTCTAACAGCCTTTTCTTGTTGAAATCGAGTAATCTTCGTAGAGCTAGTCTTTCTTGCTTGGCTTTGTGGTCGCTGGTTTAGGTTCACTGGCATCTTCAGGTATTTTGGTTGCGTTTGGTGAAGTTCCATCTGCGGTATGTGTGCTCGGTAGTGGTGCTGGCTCCGGGGTGTCAGTCTGTGTCGCCGGTCTTAGACATGGTAATGACGGTGTTTGTTTTCTGCTGGCTGTCATTTTGTTGGGAGTAAGGTTCTCCGTTGAGACTTTTGGTATCAGCAGCAGGTCCGTATCAATAGTATATTTGGGTAACTGCTCTTGTACAGGTGTGAATTGCCGGAGAAATTTTCTGTTTCTTAGTGTAATTCTGTTGGACCCGTCGACATTTTCGCGGTATTGATCGTGTTGAAGGACTTCAATGACTGTTCCAGTTTTGTCCCATTTCGTAGGGTACGGTCCTGTTTGGTTCTGTATTCTTACGTGATGTCCAATAGACAGAGGTGGTAATCTTCTTGTGTGTTCTGACCAACGTTCCGCCGCTCTCATGTGCCGGTTTCGTATAGCCTCCTCGCGAGCATTGAGTGTTTCCCTCCAGGTGACGTGTGGCCTATAAGGGCCGGGGAAAATTGGTATGAAATCCTTAAAGGGTCTACCGAAGACGCATTGGGCCGGTGATAATTTCGTGTCGGTATCAGGCGTGTTACGATATTGTAGAACAGCAATTTGTAAGGCGTTTGTGTTGAGGCTACCAGTGGGGCCGGTATTGTTCGTGATGAGGCGTTTCACAGTTTTAACGGCAACCTCGGCGCGGCAATTTGAGTGCGGGAATGCAACGGAGGCGAGGCGGTGGTGTCTCTCCATTGTTTGAGGAACTGCCGTGTTTTGACGGCGGTGAATTCTGGTCCGCCGTCAGTAGCGCATTCGTCTGGGATCCCAAAGGTGGTGAAGACGCGACGTAGGCAATCACATGTGCGCTTTGACGGGTGTTCTGCTACTACGTGAATAGACTGGTTAGTATGTATGTCTACTGACATTGTGTCTCCCAGGGTGGGGAAGCTGTTTGGGATGATTCCCAGGGCAGCGCATGTCTCACGACAAAGAAAGAGTTTATTTGAGTCACGAGTGACATATACAATTTGACGGCTCTCCAACACCCATCCGTCTTTGGATTGACCAGAGAATCTCACGATGGCTGCACCGATGATATCGTTGCCATTGTTGTTCGCAGCGTGCATGCGCATAGTGACTGGAAGCAGGTATTTCTGGCGTAGTCTTAGTTGTTTCATTATATGCATGCTAGCAAGGCAGCTCTGGCATCCAGTGTCCGCCATAGCATCCAATGTGACTGAGCGATGTCTTGTAAAATGCAGGGTGTACCCGAGGGCTGTGTAGTCCTCTGGGTGACACTTCGCATTTATATGGAGGAACGGTTGGGACTGTGACGGTTTTTTCACCCAACGGTCAGTCATGTCATTGCAAGTATGGTGGTCTAGCAGGATTCCGTTGTTGCAATGCTGATGGCTTTTTGTCATGCATAGGTTGTCAAACACTGCGTCCTCTTGGTCTCGGTTTGCGTTGTGTTTGGCATCCCGACGCTTAGTTTTGTCTTTGCTTCTGCACATGGAGGCGTTGTGGTTAGGGCGTCCGCAGCTATCGCATGTTTTGCTGTAGGCTGGGCATTCCTGTCGTCGGACATTGGGTGGGGCGTTTCTACCATGGGCATGTTTGCCACAGTAGGAACATGGTCCAGTTTTATTGGTTTGCACGACCTGGGTCATATTGTCTTGTTTGCCGCGGCGATATTGGCTTCTGGTAGCATCGATGCTTTGGCTATTGAGTAGGTGGGTGGCCAAACGTCTGCCGGCTTTTTGGCTTCTATGAACAGAAATGCCTCCTCCAGTGTCATATTTTGATTTTTATCGCTGAGCAAGTCTAGTTGGATGTCCCTGTCGGCGATTCCAACGGTTAATGCGTTGCGTAGGATATTGTCTGTGTAGTTGATTTCTGTTACGCAGTTGGGACAGTCAATCGTAAATTTGCATACGCTGGCTTGTCCACGAAGACGGGCACCGAAGCCGCGGATAGTTTCGTCACGGTCCTGGCGCATGTTGTGTAGTTTGATGCGGGCCACCATCGTGTTCTCCTCTCGTACAGCGAGTTCGCAGATTGCAGCCATGACGTCGTCGATGGGTTTGTTTGTTAAGGTTTCCGCCAGCGTTTCTGGTGAGGTCCTTACGAAGCGTTTCGTCACAGCATTCGAGTAATTGGATTACTTTGTCTTTGCCGGTTATTTTTTCTGGCTTCGACATAATCCTGCCAGCGCGTTTGGAAGTATGTCCACGCCTCACTGGACCCAGCAGCGGATATAGTTGGCCGTCTGACCTTTTCAATCTTCGCCGTCGCGTTGATGCCCGTGCGTGTGTTCGTTGCTTGGCTGTTATTGTGAACGTCGATCGAGTGGATTTGCAACAATACCGCTGCGAGTTGGTCCTCAGTTTCCTCTGTCTCGTAATCGCAGTCTGGATGGGGGCATTTGTACTTCGGCATTTCGTGCACACGTAAGGTTACGACCTGCCTCTGGTGGATGGGAAGTACTCCGAGTAATTCAACGACGCCAGAAAAATGGCGCCAAATATCAGCGATCGATAAGATGGTGGTGTTTACTGCAATTTTTTCATTATCTCGGGGTCAGAAGGGAGTGTTATTGACGCCTTTAGCGGTGCTGCTCTTTACTTTGGTTGTAGGGCTGCCTTCGGGTTGATAAATTTCGTAGATATGCTCCTGCCCCTTGGTCAAATAGGTTCCGTGTTGTTGCTGATGGCGTGTCGCGTTTCGAACTACTTATAGTGTTGGATTGTCCGATCTTTTCGTCTGTATTTCGCTCGTCTGCCGTTATAGGTAGTTTAATTGTTGTTTGTCATAGATAAGACTTAGTCTATTTCACGAAATGAGGATCTTGTAAAATATATATTGAGAGATAAAATACAAAGGTCATTCGATTACAAATGACAAACAACAATAACAGTTGGGCCCAGGCCCCTTATTAATCAACGATTATCCCATTATGCTCTAAAGTCCATATTTCTTAGTAATTAACTTTTAACTAAAATAATAATTTTCCAGTGGTGCATGCAAGCTTAGTTGGTAGTATTGTAGAAATTGAGGTTATTAAACATGGCTGATCCTACTGCGTTGGCAAATCTTCTATTGACCTAGAATCAGACATGAAATAAAATTAACAAGCACATTATCTTAAAAAACACTTACCCACAGCAATCATATCCATATTAGAACTGCTAACATAAGCTCTGCTACTCTAAAGCTTATGTTTTGCCCCAAGCCATAAGTTTCTGTAACGAAGTTTTTCATTTTCAACTTTTAAACAATTTTGGCATTGTAATTCACATTGCACAGCTACTTCCTAAATTAGAAACAACAGCAATACATATAAAAAACAATAATTTACGTTAACCTTTACAGCATTAGCGTAATAATCATATAAGTTTACCTTCTCTAATACAGGCTCATCACAAGTTGTTTCTTCTATTTGCTCTTGAGGTTCCCTACTTGTACTGGGTATATTTTCTGATTCAACCTTTCTATTATAATCAGACATCCACTTTCTTTTCATCTAAAATGGCATATATTTATGAAATATACTCTCACACAGATTCCAGGTAAAATGTAGATATGCATATGCATAATTTTTAACACACTCACCATTCTGAGATCTCTTGTTGTAAGTTCATTGTAATCTTTTCGAGAATAAATGCTCGGGTTAGCAACGATTCCGAATTTGTCTTGAATGAGTCGAGGTGAAAAATTACTTTCTGATTCAGAAAGCGAGCCGAATTGCCGAGAAAACGAATCTTTCGTGAAGTGTTCCGAGCAAACTGCGGAATTCTTTGGGGGGACCCACTTATCGCGAGTAGCTTTCACAAAGTTGGCACATCGCTTTCTCCTACGCTTAGCTTCGCTTCTTTCGTCGTTAAAAAATGGTATGCGATGAAGTGAAATGCCTTTCTCCGAACTGGCTACGTTAGAACAACCAAAAACTACACATCGATCTGGCATTTTTGTGTTTGTTTACATGCATAAACAGTGTAAGTTGTTTTGGTAGTCAGTCTGTGTTCCTTAAATGACGTCTCAAGTAAGTCCCATGCCACGGATTAGAGCTCTCGACATTTTTTACAAAACGTTGAAATTCTGGTTTTATTCGGATCTTTGCCGAAAGATAACTCAAAAACGAAAAAAGTTATTAAAATTCTATAAACGGCATTTGTATTATTTATCCAAAATCTATTTGAGAATAAAAAATTGAAAATAGTTGTATGTGCACTTTAAGAGTTTTCTTGATTATCTACATTTGCAAGGTGTGTTCTGATTACATTCTGATGTGTCATTGAGTTTAAATATAGATTATATAGGCACAGTATATAGAATATACAGAGAAGTCACTTGTGTTAAAATATCTGATGTCCTCACGAATGTTGTGACGAGCATATCGGCTGCCATAATCCAGCAAGATATTTAGAGCTATTCACTTGTGCCCAACCACTAATATGACCCAACTTCATTTCTTCTATTAAAATAATTTTGATTTCCATAATTTCGTAATAGCACAATTGAAATGATGCATTTAACGTAAACGACAACTTTTTTAAATTTTTTATTGCAGACATGTTTTGGCAAACTTATGCCATCTTCAGTGCGGTATAATGAATGAATACTTGAATAGAGTCAATATATAAAGAAATATGATACCAGACGTGTGTATAGACTTTGCAGTGACGTCACGCACTCTTTAGCAATTGTTGCTGGTGGAGCATCTGGAGGACAAGCACATGTGCACACTTTATTGTTAATATGACTAGTAACATAAAGTAAGCGCTTTCTAGGTAAAAAAAGGTTTTTCGCTTGGATATATAGAAAACATTCAGTGCAAGGATAGTAAAGCGCGTTAGAAAATGAAATTAGGACATTGCAATGGAGATGATCCGTAAGAAATACCAAAAAATTAATGGATCGACGATATCGATCTGTGGCCTGCTGTAAGCTACATTGATGTTGGCATGTATTTATTATTTTCGGTCAGTCTGTGCACGAAAGAGCAGTTAAAAAACCATAAGAGTCTTAATAGTTATCAAAATTTTGTGAATGGTTGGGTACGTGAAATGTTGGCGAAAAAATATGACGATCATTGCTTGCTTATTGCTAAGGTAAATGCTTCTCAGTTGTCACTAAAAACATTGCACATTGGCTGCACTCGTGCTCTAATGAGACTGAACGCGTTGTTTCTTTTTTTTTGACTACGCCAGGTTAATCACTCTTAAAGAATGTCGGAGAAGCCACTTACTCCTTGGGTTGGTTGCAAAAAGAATGGCAAAGTATTAACAGCGCACTGCGATGGTATGACAGAAATAGGTGAAAGCTGCTCTCACGTCGTTTCACTTCTGTGGGCTGTTGAAGCTGGTGCACGAAAACGAGATTCTTTATCTGTGACTGAAACGAAGGCATGCTGGGTCCTTCCAAGTGCTGTCAAGGCTGTGCCATACGCTAAAGTGAAGAATATAAAATTTAGTAAATTTAATAAGAAATGCGAAGGCGAAGAACAAAGAAATCTAGTTTCTGCCCATCATCGTCTGAATTGGATAAATATTTTAAAACTACTAGTTCTTCCTCATCAAAACCAGCAATACTTTCTTTAATATATCCATATTCTGATTGTTATGTACATAAAGCCTTGCACTCTGACTTGCTACCAGTCATGAGTTATCTTCATTATCCAACACTATTGACAAATCACTTGAAACTCTGCTGGAATTATCAATGTGGACACTGGACTGCTTTAATGTTGCAGTTGAACAGCAAAAAGCTGTACAAGAAAAAAACAGAGATGAAGCAAATTGTCCTCTTTGGTTTCGATTTTGTGCTGGAAGAGTGACTGCTTCAAGGTTCAAAGCAGCTTGTTGCACCAACAGAGATTCACCTTCCAAGAGTCTTATCACAAGCATTTGCTATCCAGAGCTGAAGAAATTTTCAACTGCAGCAAAAAGATGGGGTTGCCATCATGAAAAGGTGGCAAGAGACGAATATCGAGATGTATATTCACTTTCTTAAGTTATTGCTCAGTTTTCATGCACTGGTTTGAGCTAAAGTGATTTTGTTTTGAGGACAGGAAAAGACTTGTTTTCATAAATTCGCTTAAAGTGCTTATATTACGAATTTAAGCCCCCCCCCCCTTTTTTATGAGCTTAATTGAAAATTTGGATTATTTGAAGAACTATGACATGTCGCTGGATTTAAACAGATAAATATAAGTTCCTTAATTTTGCCTCCAAACTCGGGTACTATTTGCGAATTTTTTACGACGCCATATTGATACTTGTGACGTAGATAGTTCAACATGTCTGTTTCCGTCAATATAATATTATATTATAGGAGGTGATTTTGTTGTCGTTTTTCTTGTCTTAAAAACAAATAATGACAGTATTTTCAAAAAAATATTAAAAAACAAGTTTTCCCGAAATTATGGCCTCAAATCAGTGCTCAGATAATTCCAATTCGATGTCTGAATGCGTATCTGACTCGAGGTCGGAATCCGTGGGTTATGTGTTAAACGACTTCGCGTATGACGATGAACCGCTCGCAGGAGATGGTGATGAAGTGCATACTCCAGATGAGCCCGATGGAATTCTCCATGCGACATTACAACAACAAAGTGATGGCGTAATTCCACTCGGTAAATGGTAAGTTGTTGTTTTCTCCTGATTGTAATATACATAAAGTTACTTTAAAAACCACAATGCTCCCCCGTTTCAGGTGTAACTGTCAATGCTGTCATACCGCTTTGTTAGATGGCGCATTAGAGTACAGATGCTGTAAGGAAATAGGAACAGCTTTGCAGAAAATATCATGAACATTCGATGCAGCATTGAGAAAATATCACGCATAACACAGCATGCCAAATTTGGGCCTTTAGTTCATGAGGCTGTCCTTAAAAACGTCGGGCCACTATTGAGAGATAGGAACGTGCTTATCACCGCCAAGCATCACAATCATTAAATATGTAAGATTGAAAATTGTATGAGAAACAATGTTATCATCAACATTGTTTCATCAACAATAATTAGTCCAACCTTTTTATTTACTTCATGTACTTGAGTGTTGTGGCATACGAATGGTTGATGCGATGGTTTTGTGGGTCTATGGGATGGGAGAATACTCGGCCTTTACCTGGAAAGCATATCCAAGTGGTAACACAAAAGGTTACATACCATCAGAGGGGCGATGATGGAAAGGTCTTTTAACTTGTGCACTGTAGAGAATGTTGACCTTCTTTGCTGGTTCAGTTTAGAATGGTCAGGAAATATGCCTAGATGAAAACCAAATAGGAGATACATGGATGCACTATATAAGTTGACATGCAGTTTAATGGTTTGAAACAAGAGTTAACAATAAAAAACTTATACAGTGCATACCTAAACATGCTCAGCTCCATCACTAGTAGATGGTACTTCCTCATCGAGAGAATATGTTTCCTTCAGCGATGGCTTATGGAGAGTATGTTGAATGATCTACAAAACTTGGTGCTTCTCCAGATGGACTTGTCTCTTACCATTGTTGTGGCACTGGGATCTGTGAAATAAAGGTTTGTTATTCATTGTGTCTATGTTTCATGGGGAAAAGCTCAACATAATAATTACATCACCTATTGATTTTGTTTTGATAGTGTCCATTTTGCCATAAAGATGAGACAATTGATACTTCAACAGATGACAGATTGTTTTGCATTGAAGTAAAAAGTGATGGCACAAAACAACTTAAAAGAATTCATGCATACTACTATCAAGTACATTTGTAAATTGTTCTAATTTCATTTAACAAGCTTAATGTATATCAATTAACTTTATTAAGTTATTGCTCAGTTGTCATGCACAGGCTTGAGCTACTGTGATTTTGTTGTGTAGACAAAGAAATAATTGTTTGTTGAACAAATCTTGCAAAATAACGAATTTCTTGAAAGGAACATAGAGGCAGCAAAGAAATTTGTGTTGAGGGGACTCCTTCCAGAGTTAACTGGAAAATTATACTCAAGACCCAAAAAATTGAATAAGTGAAATATAATGAAATCAAATGTCTTATAAATATTATAAGTACAATATTAAGTGTATGCATGCAAAATCCTTTAAAAAATATTATTTAGTCATAAGGTACGACAGAATTACAAATGTTAATTAGTGCACAGCTAACAGTAACGATTTTGTCAATTGAAATGGGCTCATTATCTTTAGAATTTACAAAATCAATTGGCTGAGTTGAATTCAGAAGTGCATATTTCTTACTAATGTTTTCAATCACATTTTCCACATAAATCCTCACATTAGCAATTCGTCTGGTTTGTTCAACTTCAATGCCACTGTGCTGTTTTTTACCCCAAGTAAAAGCTAGCATCTTGATAGTTGCAAATTACGAACCAACTGACTCCTGGGTATCAAAGCCTCTATCGGCTAAGATTCCATTTCCAGGTAAGAGCTTATCAAGGAGACCACTGTTCT